CATATGAAGATATAAATATCATTGTGTTTGTGTAGTTTAGAATAAAATAACAACTCTGTATTTTATTGCTTGACCAAAGTTATGTAAATTCATGATTAATGAAAGGTTATCTTAGGACATGAAAAGTTGCTTCCCTTATATGTAATTGTAAAAAAATGTAAAAACTGAAAAAAAAATGTGAAACCTCAAATTTGCATTTCTCTCTGCATGGACCTAACAAACTTTCATACCAAATTAAGTGAAGATCCATCAACAGGGTGCAAAGTAGTGGTGAAAAACACCCATAAAAAAACAGCAAAATGCAAAACTGAAAATTTGTATGTATCTTCCCATGGACCCAGTGAACCTCCTTACCAAATTTGGTGAAGATCCATCCACAGGAGGCGAGGTAGTAGTAAAAAATGCAAAAATGACCATAGAAAACAAAAAATGCAAAATATGAAACTGAAAATTTGTATGTACCCCCTTCATGGACCCAGTGAACATCCAAATCAATTTTGGTGAAGATCCATCCACATCTTGCAAAGTAGTTATATGGACATACAACAGGCAGTACTATTATATTTATATAGATACCAGTAGTGACAAAGCAGGCATTTTCCAATTTGAAAAGTAACAGAAAAGACAATAAAATATAGTATGAACAAACAATTGGTAGCTTGTTTGAAAAGAAATGAAAGACAATAAGATATAGTACAAACAAACAAACAATTACTAGTCTGCTTGAAAAGTATTGGGTAATACAATGAAATATTATATAGAGAAACAGTTGATAGCTTGATTGAAAAATAACAGATAACACAATAAAATACAGTATGGACAAACAACTGGTAGCCCGCTTGAAAAGTAACAGGAAAGACAATAAAATATAGTATGGACAAACAGTTGGTAGCCTGCTTGAAAAGTAACAGGAAAGTCAATAAAATATAGTATGGACAAACAGTTGGTAGCCTGCTTGAACTATAAAGTTACAAGGAATTCCAGTTACATTGTTCATTATTCTAAATTTTTATTTGGATAGTAATTGATTATCAAAAATTAACTGGTAGATAAACTGGTGAAGTTCACTGGAAACAACAACTGCTTATAAAATCTTGTACACCATGTTTAGAATGACTATGTAAATTTTCACTTAAATCCATGCAGCCAGTAGGAATGATTAATTATTTATTAAGTTCGTATTGGAAGACATGTTCATTTACCTAAATGTTTTATAGCATTTGTAAAGGCCATAGTTTTAATTTTAATATTTATTTCCTTTTTTTTATAAATTTAAGATGACAGTATGCTTTGGGTGAATGTGTAAATGTTCATGAAATAGTAAATATTAAAGCAAAAGAAGTTATGTGTATATTGTATATGTTTGAGAAAATAAATATTTTTAAGCATTAGTTGCTGGTATATATTAAAAAAATTGTTTTATTTTGATGATTTTTTTCCTGCATGTTCTGGGTAACTAAATTTTGCATTAGTCACTAGAATTCTTTGCCTCGTGATAACTTTTACTGGAAGTACAAAATTGTTCTTGTTCTGAATAAAGTTATTATTATGTTCTATGTTTCATCAAAACATTTTGCATGTTAAACAATTATCCCGAACTTAGTTTTGAATATTTCAGTTTGAATAGTCTAATCAAAAGTTTCAGGAAATTTGTATGCTACAAATAATGTTTTACATATATTAATATTATTGTTTACTTTAATGCAATATGGGTATGACATTTAACTCTGTATGGTTTTTAATTTTTTTGTTGCCTTAACTGTTAAGTACAGTGCTGAACATAGCAATGAAAGAAATTTTTAAACACGTAATGTTGATCAAATAATTGTTATTAAAAGTTAAATATACAGTTCTATAAAATTATGCAGATTAGTGTTAAAACAGTTACATAGTTGTTAAACAGTAGATATTTCAAGTTCTGCATTGAGTTTTGTAATTTTGTATGTAAAGGATATATTTTAATGATTTTATGAACAAGAAATAGCACACAGTAACTTACATTTAACAACCCCGGTGCAGAATTGATGCAGAAAAAACTTGATTGTGTGATGATATAGGTGCATATGGAATGATTATTCTTTGGAATGGATCTGTTTTATTTCTCTTGGTAGATGGAGACCTTTATGTGGCTACTGTTGCCCAGTTCTCTGGGGCCGATCCTCTGATATATAGGAAACCTCTACGGACAGAACAGTTCAACTTAAAACATCTAAACTGTAAGTAGGATCATTTCATTATTTGTTAGAATTTTTTATCTGTAACGTCTCAGTATGTCACGTCTAGTTATATCTTTGAGCTAACGTTGAAACACTGTATGTGATGTTTTGATCAAAATGTTTGTGATAAGTTCTAAACTAAAAGTTATGATCTCTGTGTTGAGGTTGGAACTAACTAATTAATGGTGAAAAATGTTGATTTTCCCTCATTAAGTTAGAAATGTCAAGAAATTTAGAGGTATTTGCTAATCTGGTTAGGTTTTTTGTTTTAGTAACGTGGAAAATTTCAGCGTCTTTTTCAAGTAACGTTTTATTATGAATAAAACTGTAATTATGTATGGATATTATGATAAAATCACACACACACATTTGTATATTCACCACTTATTTTTTCATTAAATTTAAGTAATGAACTTTATAGTAATCATATTGAACAATCAATCCATACTTAGACCTACAAAGCTCTAGTAGATATCGGTCTGTAGAAAGTTCAGTGCAAGATATCCAGTAAAAGTGTATGAAAATGCAATCTGGTAACGAAACATTTTCATATCATAGTTAAGTATTGAAAAAAAAAACACATGGATATAATTGACAATAGGAACATTAAGGTTTTTATTTTGAAAGTTAGGACTGTATTTAATAATGTATGGTTATTTCTTTGTTTCATCCATTTTTATGTAGCACCAAACTTCGTGAACTCTCTTCACCATGAAGATCATGTGTACTTCTTCTTCAGAGAAACGGCTGTAGAATACATCAACTGTGGCAAGGTTAGTTTTTATATGAAACAGGTTTGTTAGCTTTTTATCTTGATCTGTATTGTCAATATGCTAGAGTTTGGTGGCACATTTGTTAATAGCTAACTACTGAAACTATCCCATAATATATCAGTACGTCTTACAAATGTATTTCTGTTTTAAATATAAGAAACACTTTTTGAACACAAACCTTCCATTCTACTAGTCATGTCATCAATCCCAATAGTGTATTATTCATTCTGGCTGTTGAGTTGTTGTACCTCTCCATTCATATTAATGAAGGGGTCGATTTGTTTATGGTATTTGTAGAGATTAATAAAGACAGTGTAGATTTAGCAGGATATATGATTCAACACTTCAAAGACATGTTAAATTTAGTGCTGAGAAACAATTATTTTCAGTTTAATATGAGAGCTGCTACAAATTGGTATTAAATGTTGCTATGGATAATGGCTTGTTGTAACATATTCATTTATTTACGTGTATCTGTTAGAAAGGCAAGCCTTAGAACACTGGTATAAGGATATGCATAAGAAGCCAGACATATAGATGACATCTTTGGAACTTGGAATGACTCTTTAAGCAGTTTACTTCATTTTCTATGATTTTTCTCAATAGCTTCCACCCTACTGTAAAATTCACTATTAGGCAGTCCAAAGAATCAAATATAATGTTCCTTAATGTTTAGATTACCCTAAAAGATGGCAAACTTGTAACGGAACTGTATCATAAGTCTTGTGAGTAGTGGGTGATGTGAGTGGTAATGTAAAAACGCTGGTTTCAGGAACTGTATCATAAGTCTTGTGACTGTATCATAAGTCTTGTGAGAAGCCAGCGTTTTTACATTACCACTCGCATCACCCACTACAGGAACTGTATCATAAGTCTTGTGAAAAACCAGTGTTTTAACATTACCAGTCACATCACCCACTACACGAACTGTATCATAAGTCTTGTGCGAAACCAGTGTTTTTACATTACCAGTCACATCACCCACTACAGGAACTGTATCATAAGTCTTGTGCAAAACCAGTGTTTTAACATTACCAGTCACATCACCCACTACACGAACTGTATCATAAGTCTTGTGCGAAACCAGTGTTTTTACATTACTACTCACATCACCTACTATACATTAAATGTGCAACTATTATTGGACAACTAAACCACATCATCAATACTTGTACAACTAATGAAGGTAAATCTAAAGCTATACAAGAACTTGAACATAAATTAAACATTTATTGATAAGACTTTATGAAAACAGAGTCCTCAGTAACAATGTAGAAACATTACCATAGGAAAAAGAATCACTTTCACACAAATACTATTTATTAGCTCTAAGATTTCAGCTCCTATTAGACAGGCATGCATACAATTAGGTCTTTACATCAGTATTACAGAGAAACCAGCTAGGACTCTGAAAAATATGTTAGTAAGATCAGCCTTTAAACCCAAAACATGCAGTAAACCTGCAAACAATTCTACAGGTTTAAGTGGCAACTGTAACCACAAGAAAGTACTGTACAGTTTGTTATGTAAACTTAGTGGTTCTATATACATCTGTGAGATAGAAATAACGAACACCTTCAAGCTCTACACACATTAGACAGTAAAGCTTGTGCTGTGGCTGAACATCTAGTTAAGAAACACAGTATATATGATATTAATTGTCACATAACAGCAAACATTCTTATCCACTGCAAAAGCTTTTTAGATAGAAAATGCAAAGAAGCCCTGTTAATTTCAGAGAATAGCCACTGTCAAACAAAACAATCAACCTGGAATTTTTAACTTTTACTGTTTATATTTATTATGTGTTGCTTTGAATAGTATAATCTTGTCTGTTTGTATGTACTTTCAATTTATTTATACATTCTTGGGCAAAGTACATCTTACTGCACAACTTTGAATTATTTTGTATAAGCCTAAATCAGTTGGTAAGTGTTTTGTTTGCCCTGATAAAGCCATAAATAATAGTAAAATGAAGGCTTAAATAAAACCAGTTATGTTTTTGTGGAGTAATAGGTCATGTATTATTTCTCCTGTAAACAGTTTTATTTTTTATTTACCATTATGCAGTTAAAATCAACAATAAAAAGTAAATTTGGATATATATTCTCTGTAACTAGTGTGAATGAGATCTCTACATTTTTAAAGTCATTTATTCTCCCCACTGGTTAGGGTTTGGTACCTGAATAATGAAAAGAGTTAAAGTAAGCAGCATAATCTACTTACAACTTGTTAATATTTTCCACTGGTTAGGGTTTGGTACCTGAATAACGAAAAGGGTTAAAGTAAGCAGCATAATCTACTTACAACTTGTTAATAATTTCCAGACTGTCTACTCTCGGGTTGCCCGAGTCTGCACCAAAGATAAAGGAGGCCCACATAAATATCGTAACCGATGGACATCCTTTTTGAAGGCCAGGCTTAACTGTTCAGTTTCTGGAGAATTTCCTTTTTACTTTAATGAAATTCGTAAGTATTTCTTAATATGAGGATGTAAAAAGTAGAATAAGCATTGCTATTTTGAAGTTTGTTTGTTTTTTTAAAAAGAAGAAAACATCCAGTTAGTGAACTAATACATTTACTACAGTTTAATTAGTTAAGTTATTAGTTAGTATATGATTTATTTGCTGGTAAACAGATATTTAGTTAATTATAAATTAGTTTAAACTTTAGTTTGTACTTTATAATTCTAAGATAGGGTAAGAGTTTCATAATTTTTGAATTTTTTACTTACATATGCCAAGTTGTTCTCTATCTTATAATTTGAGTCTGTTAGTTAGTCATATTGATTTTTTGATAAATATTTATTACATATGTAATTCTTTTCCCTAAATATTATTCACTAACATTTTCCACTGTATATTTTGGCTAATTCCACTTTTCAATGTACTTGATAGTTATTTCTTAAACTTTGTTAATTTAACTTTTTTATATTTAAAAATACTTGTTATACATAACCTCATAGCCATATACTGCTAAAAAAGATAATAAGATTATAAACTTAATGCACTGTGTGTATACCCTCACACAGTGAAATTGAAATAAATGAATAAAAAACTAAATGTTATGAATTTACTGTAGAGAATGGTACATACAAGTTCATCTTTATGTTTCCAGTTTAATATTAAGGTATTTCAGGTGATGTAAATTAAAACAACAATAGTAAACTTCCCCTTTCCATTTAGAATCAACAAGTAACATTATTGAAGGCATCTATCGTGGGAAAAAATCTGAAATAATATATGGAGTTTTTACAACTCCAGTGTAAGTAATCTTGATTTGGTTGTTGTGTTTGACATCCTTTTACCTTTACATGACTTAATAATGTTTCTCTTTTAACTGTTCTTTTTTATTTTCTTTTATTAATGTACCACATTTCCACTTGCATGTTAAGGTAAACACTGGCCAACATCTTCAAAAGCTTGCAACATAAATGCAATAAAGATAGTTGCACAGGTGTTAAGATATAATTTTTAGTGACTTTTATTTTTCTCTAAAATGTAAACAAAAAACAAATTTTGACCTTTGAAACTACTGTGTTATGTATAATAAAAAATCAGATTTGGATTAAGGCTGATGAGATTTTGCTTTATGTATATATTTTGAAGCTTGACATCACAGCATTGGCAATGTTTTTGCAGGAACAGCATCAGTGGCTCAGCAGTGTGTGCTTTTTCTATAAAGCAAATTTTGGAAACTTTTGATGGATCATTTAAATGGCAGGAGGATATCAATTCCAATTGGCTGTCATTTCCAAACTCAAAAGTTCCTGAGCCTCGTCCAGGACAGGTAAAATTATGATGTTTAAAATATTTTTATTCCATTTTATTCATAAACTACAAGAATGATAATTATAATAATAATAACTTTCAAGCTGTTTTTTTTGTTGGTCAAAGTGATTTTAAAAAGTAGCTAATAATAAATCTAATTACAAAATAATTATGTAATTGGATATAATAGCTGTAAGTTTTATTTAACGCTTGTAATAGGTTTTTATTTATTTTGCACTACTATAATGTCATGTTATAGATAACATCCCTCTGATAAAATATTAATTATATAAAGCTGAAAAAAGTTGGTAGTATTATTGAAGATACTTGTCTTTGATAATATTTAATAGAATAATTAAAATGTTATCATAATAAACTACCATTTTATATTTCTAGTGGTTTAAAGACACGTGTCTGTTGCATAATTTTTTTTAAAGTTTTTGAAAAGTATTAAGAGTTTTTCTCCATTGTTTTAACTATGCACAGTTCACGTTATGCTTGTTTAATTTGATGTAAATATTACCTTAAAAAAAATTAAAACACAAATTTTGGTTTGACCAAAAAATCACTCGAGGAATGTGTTTGAGGTTGATAAAAGAATATCATAGCAGCATGATTTTGATGCTGTAAATAATTACTGATAAGAAGACTTTTGTGTTTCTCCTGTCACCAGACAATTGGTTTCAATTTATATTTATTAATTAGTTTGATCAACTATAAGATGACTATATCAGAACCAAAATAGCAACTTTAAAATTAGTGAAGCTAGTTTGATAGGAAAACTAACAAGAAATATATAATTTCATAAATCATTATACAAGGAAACCAAAACTTAATGATTATAATGCATTGAATATTTTTGGCCATTTAGTTAGTCCTAAATCTATGTACAAAGTCAATAATGTTCATAAGTGTAAAAATTAATAATACTTAAAATTATGTAAACATTATGAGCAATTATATTACACTAACTTTTAAGAAAACTTAATTTCTCAATTCTTACAAAACATGCAAAAAAACAGTCACTTACACCTAAGATCTACACTACCTGTAGATATTTAAATACATTAATATACTGTAGTTTATTTAATAATATCGGGAAAATGAAATTGAAAATGCATCGATTTTCCATTACATAAATTTAGAAAAAAATGTATTAGATGTCATTCTGTTTTTCTAAGCAACATTTTTCATACCATAAGCCTTTGCAATAGTGCTGTGCAACTGAACTGCCCCATTGTTAATCCACCTATTGAAAGCAATGAACTTGTCTGGGCATGTTATGGCAGGTACTGCAGGTAGTTAACTGACTACACCTTACGTCTCCTCATTGTGTGCTGTTTCCAGATTACAAGTTATTATCTGCATATAGCATATTGAGAACAGTTCTCAAATGGCTTGGCAGGTATAAAATTACTTTCAATTTTTTAGCAATATCAAACAACGAACAGTCACAAATTCATTATGTACCTCTCTCAAAATGTCTCTGTGAAAAATGGATCCAATCAAGTTTTATTGAAACAGGTTTCTAATGATTATCATTTGTATGTTCCCATTGATTGCAGTATGATTATTGTTTTGTAATTTACTCATGCATGTCACTTACATAGTGCTATGCTTCATGAATGTGATAAAGAACAAATAACATTTGCTTGTATGTATGTTAGGGTTTCATTTATCACTCGTAAAGGCTTTTTATTTCCCTGGAACTATCATGTGTGGAAAAAAATTTTTGATGCTTTGTATTGTGTAAAGCATCATCAATCATCGTTTAACCACTTAAACTGTTTGACCTATTAATCGTGGTTATTTAAATTTTATGCATATGTTTCTAATTAAACAAATTTCCTTAGAACTACATAAGTACATTACTACTTCAGATATATATAATGAAAAGTTAAATTTGAAGGTAATGTTTGCCTTTAACTGGAAAATGCAATGAAATTTAACCTTCTGTGTGTCGAAATGAAAGCATTTTTTTGTTTTAACATCTTTAAAATAAATATGAAGCCCAGTAGTCTGCTGAATAATTCACGAAAATAAATTAGCAGCATCAGTGCTATATATTTGTCAAATCCTATATAAATATAGATTCATTGGGGTAAGTAAGAGATAACTCAGTACACCATTTTTGTTTTCTGTTATTAAATATCTTCTTAAGTTTAATATCCTAGTCTCAGGGTTTGAAATATTGAAACATTTTTCCAGGTATTGGCTTGTTTGTTTCATAATAATAATAATACATTTTTATGAGTACTGTTATATTAACAGTTTCAAGTAAAGATATTTTTTTTTGGGGCAGCTGAATGCTAATTAATGATTTAAGCTAATATGAGAAAAACTGAAGCAGTTAATCTGAAATACATTGATTATATTTTTGTTATGAAGCTCGATGTAGTAGTAGTAGTAGTTTTATAATCATGTGCTGTCATTTTAGTGTGTGAATGACTCCAGAACTTTACCAGAAATGACACTGAATTTCATCAAAGACCACACTTTGATGGATAAGGCAGTTCCTTCTTTCTGGAATCAACCATTGATTCTTCATACTGGCTTTGGGTAAGTAGAGTACTTTCTCTCAACTTGCACATGAAGATTTAAACTTTTGACGTTTCATAGTGTTATGTTTAGAACATTTTCCTGACAGCTAACATATTCACAAATTAGTATGGCTCTGTTAGATATAGCTGACAATGGAGAGTTTTATTCCTATACTTGAGGACTTGTGTGCATCACTGTTCTCTGAATTTTATTCACAAGGGCACTGAATCAGTTAAATAAAAGAACTGCCAGGTTAGACAAAAAAAATTGATTTGAAGGATTAAATAGATCCAGTTTCATACTTAAGATGTAAGAATATATTTATGTATGTATGTATGTATATATATATATATTTAATAAGGACTATATGAAATCTTAATTTGTAATTTTTGAATTATTTTGATTCTCTTACTAAAATATATTTTATATACCAACCAGAGACAATTGGTTGTATTTGATGTGAAAAGTTCAATCTTGTTTTAACTAGTAGAGATAATTTTGTTTGAAATGATTGATACAACTTCTCCTAAACTTTATTTCTAGACAAGTTACAAAAGCTTTAACAACAGATTGATATTACATCATTTGTTATTTCTGTCATGAAATATCAGTTTATTGATTATTGATTTAGATACAGAAATATTTATAATGACACAGGTCCATTAAGAGTTTGAGGTCAGGGACAGATTATTTCTTGTTTCTGTAATTGAAAACATAACCTCTCGTTGTTTAGTTGTTTTAATCAACTAACTCCAGACACAACTTCTTACCGCAGTATTGTTTTATTGGTGATAATGTGATAACCTTAATGTAACCATAAGTAATATATAACTAATAATTGAAGTTTAGTAGTACTTTTAATTTCAAGTTATAGAAAAGTAAGGCCCTTATGTTTGCAAGTTTTTTAAACTATTTGATTCACAAACAGGACTTATTTTGGTCATTAGCATTATAACCCTATAATTGAAGTCTATTGAAACCGTACTGTATGATGTTATAATTAACCTTGTTTTGTTACTTTAATTTGGATTAAGCAGAAACTGATTAAGTGAGTTTGAAAGTGAATATTTACTTTTGAGGTTTGGCTGAATAAGGTCAGAACTTGACTGTAGAATAACAGTACCTTGCTTGTTTCAGATGCTAAATAGAAAATAATTGATGCTGATTTTGAAGTGGTATACAAATAATATAAGATCAGTTCATTTTACAGTTTCTTAAGTTTCAGGAATATGTAATATTATTATTTTGTAAACAATTCATTTTTAAAACTTGCTTTGATGTAATTTTTCCTGTTGTTATAAAATTTTTTTTGATATTTTGAACCATACACTGACTTACAGTTTGTTGATGGTGTGGGATAATATCTGTCAAAATGATGGTTAGGATACTTAACTCGCAATCTGAGGGTCACAGGTTCAAATCGCCATCAGCTGTGGGGGCATTATAATGTGACGGTTAGTTAGTGGTGATGACTTGCTGCCTTCCCTCTTGTCTTTCACTGCTAAATTAGGGATGTTTAGTGCAGATAGCCCTTGTGTCAAACCAAACTGTCAAGATGGATAAACCAAAAGCAGTCATCCTAATATATTCGTTTTCTTAAGATCATGATGCACATATTTTCTGTTATATTGAGAAATAAAGGCTTATGTTAGGGCAATTTTAATGTAAATATATACTTATAACTGAAGATTTTTCATGGTAATTAAAACTTGCATAATCTCAACATGTACATTTTTGTAAGTTGTAATTTTTTGTTCAAAATTAAAAGTATTGAAGAAGTACATGTCTCAAAGGGTTCTACATTTTCTCAGTGCTCAGGTAAGTGTATGTACAAAAATAAGTATGTGGTAGAGAAACATTTCAAACTTATTTATCTTGTTAGTTTATTCAGTTGTTAACTGTGAGGGCCCTGTTTTGCATGTGGTCCAATGCTGTTCTTTTATTATTACAATTATGTTGAAAAAGGTACTTTTGAAAGCAGAAGTTGCATGAGAAGAAAATAAGAGATGACCATTTTGACTATACACTCTTTTTTGTTTTTAACTGAAATTAAAATTTTGTATTTTTTACACTTTGGTATGTGTTTAGGGAAGATATTTAAAAATCAAACTTTTGTTTTTAGGTATCGATACACTTACATAACTGTGGATCCACAGATAGAAACAGTTGATGGCAATAGATATGATGTACTTTTCATAGGAACAGGTAAGAACTGATCAATTTTAGCATGCAAGATTGTTTTGAAGTTTATTCTTTGGGAAACCATTTTGTGTTATTTTCATAGTGAGAGTGAACATGGAAAAGATTAAAACAACCCTTGAGGTTTGTCTGCTTAATCATGTAAAACAATATTGGGTTTAAATTCCTGAATGTATCAAGAATAAATATGATACACAGTGGTAATTAAAGCAGAAAATAGCTTGGATTCTCTAGATTAAAGAAAAAATAAAAGTATGAATACAAGTTGATAGACTAATTCAAAGCTTGATGTAAAAATAAAAACTGTTATCATCAGGATAGCATATGGTAATCTTGGAATAAATAATACAATTTCCCAGGTAATTTAAAAGAAATACAAAATGTCTTTATCTATAGAGAAGTAAACTTAAGGTGATATTTAGAAAAGTATTAATAAGCATTATTTTCTTAGCACTTCTGGTGATAACACATACTAAACAGCTTACAAAGCATGTAATTTGAAATGTTTCAGATAATGGAAAAGTAATCAAGGTTGTCAATGCTGCCAGTGCATCAGGTGATGGTAAGGTGGTTCCAGTAATTATTGAAGAGGTTACTGTGTTCCAGAATGGAGCTCCTATCACTAGTTTGTTGGTATATAACTCTGCTTTCCAATTCAAACTGGTTGTGGTTTCTCAAGATGAAATATACTCCATTCCACTACATGATTGTGAACGTTACGCAAGCACTTGCAGGTTAGCTAGCTCTTTGTCATTTGATCTGTAAAGTAGGATTTTATAATGATGACCTGAAATGTAAGGTGACAGCTGTTATTACTTTGTATTATTGAAACTTATTTTTTTTCTCTAAGGTTGTTTTTAGTACAACAGGTTGCAGGTTAGCTAGCTCTTTGTCATTTGATTTGTAAAGTAGGATTTTATAATGATGACCTGAAATGTAAGGTGACAGCTGTTATTACTTTGTATTATTGAAACTTATTTTTTTTCTCTAAGGTTGTTTTTAGTACAACAGGTTGATCTGACACTGGAAATATAGTCATTAGCTTTATAGATTGATTAAAAAATATCATATCACTCAAGATATTTATAGTATCTAACAAAGTTTTCATCATTTGAGGTTTAGTGTAATAATGTTTACCCATCCTTTTTTATTATCACGATGCCTCAATTGATATTTAAATATTACAGTTGAAGAATAGGGTGAAACTGTTTTTTAATAATTAAGATGAGACTTCAGCTGAGGTTTGGTTGATTGAATCTTTTAAGTTTGATATTTGATAAATATTAGCTTCAGCTAAATTACTTGGCCCATTATAATGAGAATTTAGTAAATAATATTTAATTTAAATAGAAGTGTTAATAAGGTTTCTTAAGTTACATACCACTATCACATGTGAATTATTAACTGTTGTTTTATTGTGTATTTTGCAGTTAATAAGTTTCAACATTGACTATAAAAGTGAGGTTTATGTGTGTGTTTCAGTGATTGCGTAGGCTTACAGGATCCATATTGTGCATGGGATGAGAGTCGTCAACGTTGCACCAATGCAGGACCAAGGTTGGTGTTTATCTAACATAGTAGATGTTATAGTTTGTAATTTAGTCATTTGAGTTATGCAGTCAAATTGTTAAAATTATTTTAAAATTTGAGAAATGTGTGTGTGTGTATATATATATATAAAAGACTGTTGTTTGCTTCTTTAAATTTTGTAAGTTTATAATATGAAGAAAATCTAAATTTTGTAATTGTATAATATGAAGAAATCTAGAAATTCTATTTATATACTTTGTTTTGTTTGTCAGTTAAACAATAAATATAAAACTTAAAAATCTTTCTACTAAGCTATAATTTTCTACAAACAGGAGAGAAATAGAATTTCTGTGATCAATAAACATGCATTGTTTCTTTTTTTTTTGTAGGGGATGGATTAGAGGAAAATTTGTCCAGAATGTATCTCATGGTTGGGACGAAAAGTGCCCTGAGAGTAAGATCTGAATCGTTTTTATTTTCTTTCTTAAAGTTTTGTTTATATTGAAGATTTTGTTAATAATAACAGTTTTTATGCTGTAATGCTTCCTAAGATAAGTTTTTAAATAGAAATGAAGCAGTCCTACATTTGCTTGAATAATTGTATTGTTTAAGAACATTTTTCTGTTAAATTGTTTAAAGGTTAGATATACCTTATTAAGAAACTTTGATACAAGCAGAAAAAAAAATACTGAATAAACATTCTTATTTGTTGAAATATCTGGTACTTTTGAAGAAATCACAAGTGTTTTCTGTCATAGAAATATTTGTATGAATATTAAATACCTGGAGTAATCAAGTTAAATCCATTGTTAAATGTCTAGAAATCAGGTTAAAAAATAAACTAATAATACATAAGTGAGGGCATGAAAATATGGGAATTAGCAGATAACCATTCCTAAAAATAAAGCTAGCCAATAATTATCATTATAAGCCATCTGCAAAGACATTAGCTGCGGGGAGGGGCAAAGGTGGTAATAGTAATCAAACCTTTGAATCACAGTAAATTACAAGTGTAAATGTAATAGTCAATTTTCAATAAATGATAGAAAAAAATACAATTACTGTAGTATTAAGAGTTGCAAGTAAGATTAATTTTATTTATGGAAACGAAAAAACATGACACTCATATGTGTTTCTTTTTTCTACATTCTATTTTATATTGTATAGAATAATATCATAAAGACATTCTGAAGGGTTGATTTAGGTATAAATAGCTTGAGATTGCAAAATATCTTTCATAATGTGCTACGCAAATGCTTAATGAGGATAGAAAAGTATTAAATCAGCATTTTGCTGATTTAAATAATACATTTTTGGCAGTCTTCACACTGGAATAATTAGTGTGAAGAAAAAAAAATGGCTAATTTTATACCATGATAATTGTATTTTCCTCTACCTGTAACAAATGAATTGGCATGTGTTAAGTTTAGTGTCCCTTTTTACGGTGAAGACACAACTATGTGCTTCATGCTGTTGTGTTAGTATGAAATCATAAACTTGATCTTCAGAATTAAGCATCCGTAACTTTAAAAAGTAACTTACTCCTAAGTTGTTGTACCTATCACATTACATGAAAGGTAGATAAAAAATTTGTCAATAAACCCAGAACAAGCTGAAGATTGGTTTCATGTGAGAATAATCAATTAATAAGCCCAACAATTAATCAATTAGCAATTTTCACCAGTGTCTCAGGTTGAGATGTACGTCGTATCTAATGTCATGAAATATAAGGGTATCTTAGACAATAAGATATTTGCACATTACTTTGGTAAAATGTACTAATTTTGATTGCAAATCATAATCAAAATATCTAGATTAAATATTTAAATGTTATAAATACATCACACGTTTTTGATATGCAAGCGATCAATCAAGATATCTGACTTATAACAGCATAATTTGACATTTTGAGATGTTTCAACAAACATCTTGTAGTTCTTATGGAATTTATTAATGCAAAATAGTATGAGAATAGAAATTGGTTTTAAATATCACATTATTGTAGTTACAAGTTCTACCAACATTTTCCTCTTACTATGCTCGTGAGTAACACCTGTAGATTACTTGCCCAATTGGACAAGCTATTTTAGCTTTCATGTGCCTTGACCTCCATTTTACTTGCTCTAGCAATCAGGTAACCGTTAATGTCGAGCTCTGATAGAGTATATCATTGAATGTGAATGTAGTATTGCATGAGAATTTTAAAATGAATGTTTTATTAGAAACTTTACAACATATCCAACTTTAATTATGCATTTTTCAGATGGGCAATTAAAAAAATCATTTAACTGCTCATGTTGAGGGTTCTTGATTTTAGATACTACTGAGGTTATGTTAGGATCTAAATTCTGACTAAAACTAGTGAAAGATTCACAGAAAAGTCTTATAGAACATTTAAATCAAAATGTATGTTTTAAATGTTCTAAAAGTGGATGAAATATGGTAATTATGTTAGTTATCCAGTTTGATTATTACACTCCCTGATATGTCCGCCAGTCAGTTTCTTATTCTGTACTATGGGCTGATATCTGGAGGTTAATTCCTTTTCAATCTCACAATGATTGATAAGAAGGAATTTATTTTAATCTTCTTTCTTGCTCCATCAGGCACTTGAACAGTTGTTGAACACCTGTTTTTTTTTATAATCATTCAAAATGTATAGTCATGTTTGCTGTAAGCTGTAAATCATGAAAGAATTATCTTATGTTGTTGTTTTTTTCACAGTTTTGTTCATCCATCTTTTGTAAGATTCTCATTAAGTTAATACTTTATTTATTTCTTTTTCCTACAGCAGAGTTAGGGACTGAAACAACCCCTACTACCACCAGTGCCCCTACATGTCCTCCTTGTCCCTTAGAATGTGCCTGTCCTTCAACAGAGGGGGCAAGGAATGTTACTGAGCATGAACCTGGTCAGTTTGTCTTCCCAGCTTCATTTGGGATAACAGACTTGTAACAAAACTAATCCTATAGTTATATACACAATAGTGAAGTGAATAATGCTTCAAGAACTACCTCACCTGTTATGCTGTATGCTGTCATCTGTTCCATACTAATTCTCATTAAAACATGGCATAACATCTTTCTTGGCTTATTATCTGTTTGTATCCTCCTACTGGGGCTCTTTGCTTTTCTATACTAATGCAGATGCCACATAAAGAAACAAAGTATATTTTCCTTTTGTACTACATGTATAAATCCAAATGATACTAGTCTAAAGTAAAATATTGTGGTCCAGAAAGTTCATATCACAAATTCCACTGTTGCATATAAATCCAATCCCATATCTTAAAAGTACCAATAATAAAAAAAAAGTAATAAAGGAAAAAAATAACTAATCCTTTTATCTTTCACAAAGTACTATCAAATTTTCTTTTAGAAATTTATTAAAAACATATTGAAGAATGCTATAAATATACAAATTTTTATTTATTTAAGTGCCCCCCAGTGGCACAGCGGTATGTCTGCGGACTTACAACGCTAGAATCCAGGTTTCGATATCCGTGGTGGACAGAGCACAGATAGCCCATCGTGTAGCTTTGTGCTGAATAACAAAACAAACAATATTTATTTAAGTTTGAGGTTTATAGTTTACATTTGAAGTAGACAAATGGGACAAAAAGTTAAGTAAATAATTTCAGCTTTGGGAATGTTATTACTTTGATGGTTAGTCACCTTGTGTGGTTAAGAGTAGTTGTATAGGTAAAAGGTGTTGCTGATTAGTGGTTGTTCTTGCTTTGGCCAGCAGTTCTAAATTTAGATAGTTCTCTCTAAGCCTTGGGTGACACTTTGTACACTGCAGTTCATGTGTCATGCAAGGTGCCATTCAAGTTGAATATACAAATTCCAAGCAGAAGGATTTTTGTCATTCTATTAATGCTGTTATTGGTATAAAATTATGCCCCCATACAAAAGTGAGGGCTAAGACTTTAGTACAGTAGTTTGAAATAAGGACAGAAACTGAACCAGTCAAACTTCTGATATTAACTTATAATGCCAAATTTAAGAAAAATAACTTTCTGAAGATATTATTAGAATGCTACAGCTATTATAATTGTCAGAATGATTATATACAAGTAGATAGATACACTTATTATAAGATTTTAAGTTTAATCAACAAGAAAGTTGGCAACCATTTCAGTTCTATCAACTGTTAAGTTAGGTAGGGATATTTTTATTATGGTAAAGGTATTGATACTTTTTCATTTATGAGTAACAATATAAGAAGACACTTAATTGATGTTTAAAAAAAATTAGGTCTGCCTATAAAAAATAGTCCAAAAACCAAGAAATACTTTAAAAAATAAGCGAGTTTCATCTGCATTTTTGTAGAATACAAGTACAAAAAATAGACCGCACTGATCAAGAACACAACATAAAACAATGTAATATTAAAAATCTTGTTTATAAAACAATATGTTTCGGATGTGAAGGAATTACTATGTTGGAGAGACGGGTTGTGTATTCCACTTGGTGATTTTACAATATATCAGTGCTAGCATTTTGGTAAAACACTAGTTGACCAAACACGGGCTGCCTAGTGAGTCAGAAGTAATTACAGATAGAAAATATATAGAAGCAGCACTAGTAGAGAAACTTAAGCAACTAGTCAATCAAGATAAAAGATAACTTGTTTAACACTCTGTTTTCATTTTTTGATAACATAAATATTTTGCCAACTTTGATATATTATGTCATTTTCATATAGTGTTGGTGTGTGTAACTTAAGTTTTTGTCTTGCTATTGGTGAAGTCCATGCTTCATACAAGCACTTCGCATGTGTCTAACTAATTTTTTAATTATTTTAAGTTTACTGTTAACGTCATTGCTTTTCAACTGTGCCAGATTAAACATATTGTTATTAATGATCAGTATAATCCCTAAAATTTATTTATTGAGGTGGGGGTACATACAGATATTTAAAATCTGTATCTTAATTTGTGTTATTTAAATACATGAGCAAATGCATTATCTGATCAAATGGAAGGCTTGCTTATCAAAACAAAATACTCCAAACTGTTTCTATTCAACACATTTATTCATTAAATGTAAACAGAGACAGTTAACTCAGAATTTGGTATCTTTACAATTGTTGAAGTGCTATATAACGAACATCTTGTTCTGGTTGTGTATCATAAATCGTACTAACACCACAAAGTACTCTGAAAAGTACAGCAGAAACAGTGGTAGGTAAAATGATCATGAGAGTAACCTTGTTATTAAGATTTGATGGTTTATTACTACACGTCATTTCTGTGCAGTATCTTTGTCTCTTGCTTTCAGTCACCTTGTTATTACACTTTTTCTCTTGGTGATTTGGACTTTGCTAAGTTAACTTGCTAACTTCAGTCACTTTACATTAATTGTGCCACATATATTCAGATTGGACAAAGTTTGAATAATTCTGCATCAACCCGAGTGTTTAATTACATCACACAGTTTCATGAATGATCATAATTGATATTGTGGTATCACATCACTAGGTTTGAGTTGTTCAGCTTGGTTTTGGGACAAGCTGTGAAGTGTGCAGTAATATACCCCAGATACCGAGACAGATACAAGTGGCTTACTTTTTGAGTAATTGATGATAAACCCATGCAAGAAGGTTTACATTATAGTTGACCGTTGTTGTTTCCAAATTTGAAACCTTGTTAAAAGCCAAGCTAATTTAATAGTCCTAGCACTAGCTTTTAGCTAGAAAACTAAAATTGTATTATATCTGTTATAAACTTCTATAGGAACTACAAATTATTTTCTTCAGTTTAACATTAAATTGTTTTTGTCATCTTTGTTGTGCTATCAACAAAGTATTCATTTAATTTAAGATTAAGTTTATACTTCAAGAAAAAATGTATTCTGTTATAAGTATACTTTAGGCCATCTTAGAGCTGAGTTGTAACTTGTAACAGACTATAAAAGTTTCATTGTTTATATATTTTTTGATAAGAACATGTTTTTTGAATATCTCAGTATGGGCTTAGTGTTAGTAGTCATTTGAATCTGTTTTATAATCATTTGGCTTTGTACACAATATGAGACTTTGATATCATCACATCTGTTCTTGATTTGGATACACATGTTACTCTTGTTGTGCACTTGATAAATATTTCTGGTCCACCTGTTCAGCTTACCTTGTTTGAATGGGTAATATCAAACATTTAGTATTTCAGTATATTGTGGGTTTTCATATTTTATCTAGGCTAACCATGCACTGTTTAGAAATGTGCCACACTTCTTATTTTAGTTTTCCTTGTGGCATTAATAAGTCAGTGTGGCCAAATTAATTTTCAGTTTCATCCTAAGTACATAATTCACTTTGGTTGGAAGTGATATTATTTAATTATTTCACATTTTCATTACTTATTTAACTAGCCTTGCAGTATTAAACACAGTTATTTTATTTATTAGTCATTTTTCCATTATTTATCTTGGTTAATCATGGTATTAGTTTCTCAGTGTTTAAGAGTATTCCATATCTTCACTGCTTGCCTCTTCTAACTTGTTGTGCAGTTTTAATACTTGATATTATATGGCATATTTCTCCACGACTTATTGTGTTGCTTTAAACTTTCCATATTTAGATATATGTTATTCTTCCATAATCTGCAGTAGTTACATTTTTTGATATCAGTTACTGAGTGAATGCATTCACAGCTTTTCTTTGATAATTTTGTATAAAGCACACTAATATTTAGTTATATTACAAGACACAACATTGGTTTAACTAATACTGGCATTTTCATTGTCAACCAATAGGTAAGTATTTCCCAAACTTGTTTCCCCTCCCAGGGTGCACTGGAACAGTAATATGTATATATATTTTACATCACTAATTACAGCACTCACAGGAAAGTAAGAATAAATCCCCACAAACACCTGGAAATTAATGTTATGGATGCATAAATTTTTAACATTTACCATCTTAATACCATGTGTCCACAGTGTTTCATTAGCTCTGTTATCTAATGTGGTTACACTAGTTTCTGGGTTAAGCTTTATTCAGATGAATAAACTATACAAAACCATCTGTATAATTTGTAGGGGACTGGAGAACACAAATTACTTTTTGGTCTCTATAGGTTGCAGGAAGTATATTTGTTTATATATACCTTTTATAAAAATTATTTTTTGAAAAACAGAACTTGAAATGTCTGTGAAAACCTCTTGAGAACTGGTATATTTTTCTTTTCAGGGGAAGTGTTTATATATATCTGGTTAGTTAGGTGTTTAAAAAGCTACAGGCAAATTGTCCATCATAGGTTCATGCTTAGTTTACATGTGTAATATTGATTGAAATCTGCACCTTGTAAGTGTGGCACACCCAATCACGTGTATTGAACATCAAATATTGTCCTCTGTGGGAGGATATATATTAAATATCTTGTAAGGAAAATAATGGCAGAAAAAAGGTTGGTGACCCCAATATGACCCAACATTGAGCTCCCTCTTTAAATTCCCAATCCCCACATGACTGTTGATCGAATATTAAATAAACTCGTTGGTTTACTACATATGGAGCATGTCAAACTATAAGTCATGGAGCTAATTAAAAGAAAAAAAATGTTGACACAGGGAATACCTTGCATTGTTTTTGTAGAACAGTAGGACTACTGGATTGAATCAAAAATTAACAAATAATTTTAATATTTATAATAAAAATCACATTACTAACTGCAGATGTTTGTTTTTTTGTTTTTCTTACTTTGTCCATTGCACATTTCAGATCAGAGGCATGTGAAAACAGCATATTTGATCTATATTGTGTCCTCCACAAGTCATTACCCAAGAGGCCTTTCCAACATTACCATAATTCATCAGTTGGGCTGGACAGTTACAGACAAAAGGCTCTCTGAAATGCTATTTTGGGCAATGAATTATGTGTTACAAAAAATAGATCTGATATATTGTTTTTACATGCCTCTGATTTTAAATCCATAGTGGACAAATTAAGATTTTATTTAAGAAAATATCTGCAGTTAACACTGAATGTTATTGCAAGTTTTAGGCTTATGGGTTTCTAATGCTTCACCATCTTTCTATGTTTAAATTGTAACAAATAATTTTTCTTTTTATGTTTTTTTAATGTAATTTCTTTGTTACGTGACACTTTATAAAACTAGTTTCATAATGTTTATAAACATTACAAAATGTTTTAAATCATTAGCAACATGCAGTCTACTCAAAAGCACAGGGATTGGTGGTAGTAGTGGTAATGGCAGCTTCCCTAACAGTGACTGTATCTTGCTCTTCTAATCATACTTTTATTCCTCTGACTTTGAAAAAGTTGCCCTTAATTATATACCTAACTTTCTTTCTTACTGTTAACCACTTTATCTTTTCCTATTGATTAATATCACTTACTCTAGGTAAAATAAGATAAGAATGTAGCCAAATATCAAATGCTTTTATTTGAGATTTAAAACTTTGTAATATCTAATAGAAGTTTTAGCATTGTTTTTTTTGTATTGCATTTACTGGTGTTACTTACCTGTTTAGTTGAATTCTGTAAAAAACCACATATAATATTTGTCACCTTGATGATTTTGTATTTTGTGGACTTTCAGTTTATTGTAGTTATAAATATCCAGTGTGTTGCATGCAAGTTACAGAAAAGGAATACATATCATTAGATGTTCGACATAATTATGAAACATTTCCTGGAAACTTGCAATGACTAATTTTTCTGAGGTTTCTGTAGCTAATTTTATGCTGCAATTATATGAGCTTTTGTTTATTAAGTTTAACATTCAGTAAAAATTCAATTTCTAAGCCTAAAACAGTTTTTAAACAATTTTAATTTTATGATATCTATTTTTACATTTCAAAGTTTTTCTAACGTCCTCGACTTTGAATAAACAAATTGTAGCACAGGAATTTCATGGCAGAAGATGGTTTGATTGTCTAGAAAATATTACAAATATGTTCAATAACATTTAAGAATGATGAAAGTCAGCACTTAAAGATAGGGCTAGGTAAAGTCAATATTAGTTATTAGCTGTCTAAGATGCAAATAGTTGATCTACCTTGCTTTATATAAACTACTACTCTGCTAATCATGTCCAATATTCATTTGTAAGCTCAGCCTTAGAGTGGAGTGATTTGTAGAGCAAACTAACAGAAAATGAAGAATTATTTTAAATTAATAGACTGTATGATTAATTTCACACTTCACATAATATTTAATCCAGTAGGACAATGTTGTAAAACAGGAGTTGCTTCGTCTGTGCATGCGTGTTTTTCAGTTATAAACTGTTATTTTATTTCTATGTTGTGTTGAACACGTGATACTGATGCTTTGTATCTTGTTTCACTAAAGAAATAAGTCTTAGAATGTTGCTTTCATCAAACTATTCACACATTGATGCTTTGATTAATTTGGTTAAATCTGCTTTAGAACGGCCTCCCAGCTCTGACAGTTCTCCTGGTGGTTCATATTCACATCATCAGGCTAGTCGACACGACGGAGATAAAGAAGCAGATGTAGTATCAACTGTAGACAGCCAACTCGGTGATAATGGTAAGCCCCATTCCTCTGTAGCAGTGGCCGACTAACTTGAATTTACTTTTTCACTGCCCTCTTATATATAACACATGCATTTCTCAACTGCTGCTGCTATTCACACAAAATGTGTTGTTGTTATTTCTGTTACACCATGCATGCTCAAAGATTTCTAAGTCAATCTAATTAAAACACAGTAGGAATCTGTCAACCAAATCCAAAAGATTACTCATGTTATGTGTGATCCTAACAATTTTCTCATTTCTCGTCATATGTATTTAGTCATACATGTGACCAACGTGCTTTAAACAGTTTCTAGATTCTACTTTTGGTACATATGTGTGAGTGTGTATCTATCTATCTATGTATGTATAAAAATATAAATCTCTCTCTCTCTCTGTTTCTTTCTATCATTATATATTATATTTCTTCACTTTGAAGTCATTTAAATACTTAAGCAGTATTGAATCTTTTAAAAGAAAACTTGTGCACGTAAACTACTAACTAATGGTTAAGCAACAACTGTTTGCTTCTGTCTATATCTTTATGTTATATAACAATAATTTTTACTTATATGTTTGTTGTGTGTGTTATTAGATTTACAGCTGATATTTTATTGTTTATGTTAATATTGGTCATAATATCTTGGCAGACTTTCTTCATTATCAGAGGCACAGTTTTCGTATCTTAAACAAACTTGCAGGAAAACCAGTAAAATTTATTACGCTTACTGACAATTCAAAACCATGTTGTGTTTGGATTATTTGAAAGCGAGTAATCAAAGATAGGTTTCTGATGTAGAACTGAAAGATGAGAAATGTACAATCCATACAAGAAAGAAGGATAGCTCTGGAAAATAGATTAAGAAAATTTTAATAATTCTAGCTTACAAAAGATCTATATATATGTATGATTTTGTTAGCTTTAATCTTAGAAGTATGGAAATTGTAAAACAAAAAGTTGTGCTTTTTTTGTTTTTGATACCACCAATTTCCAAACTTCAGTGTTTTCAAACTTTTCATTAAGTAATAAACATATACAAGGATCACAGCTGTATTTCATATGTATACAGATTCTGTTGAGGCAGGTGGGAAGTTTGAGTATTACTACTTCCCCAAATTATAACTGGGGAGGGGGTGCAGTATAAAAAAACTAAATTAGTGTTATTAAGTGGATTTTATTATTTTATCCAAAGAAGATATTAATAACATTTATACCAAAAATTTTAAGGCTGAAATTTCAGTTATAAATCTGTATATAGGTAATTTAAGGGAAGGTCAAGCAGAAATTTTGAAAACCGAATGTTATCACATACTCTCACAAAACATTACAAACATAAATAATACAAAGCATTTTGCATTTACTATTACTCTAAGCCTAGAACCACATCAATGCATATGTGATCTGCATATGTACATAAAATACGAAGAACGTAACGAAGCTAGCAGCAGCATATTTTTTAACTCCAATTCACTGCTAATGTACTTTTCTTTCTGCATTACTTGCCTTTTAGTACACTGAAAAATGGTTATTTTGATGTACTGACAATATTGATACAGAGTATGATGAACAAATTACAGATTAGATATTAGTAAATGTCCATGATATGGATTCTAACTCTGAAAGCAAATTAAAATTTCAAATACATGCATATGCTCACCAGTTAGGATGTAAATCGGTACTCTCAACAAATATGTTTCTTACCTGCTTTACATCCCTATTTAAATCTAATTGAATTAAAGTTAAATATTTATTTAAAGATGTAATTATATACATCCTTTGATCAGTTCTTCCAACAAAACAAGGCAACTCAGTTATTGTAATTATTTACATCTTGTAATCAGTTCTTCCAAAAAAGTAAACAAAGCAACTAAATTATTATTACATTGTTGTTTTTTTTATTTTTTTTTTAGCCAGTCAGTTTAAATCATTTCAACTTAGCGAAAGAGAAATAAATATTTCTTCCATTCACATTAAGAGCTAGAAGCAGAAGTAACATAAGTACACATCCTGTAAAGAAATTAAGTTGTTGATGTGGTTTGAAGGTTTAACTAACAATGCCACTTTCTGTTGCTATTGGTACAACTGTAAACATATGAATAATAACAACAAACAAATTCTAGAATTGTTTTCTATTGCAATAAAGTTTTATATTATAAAATGTTAGGAAACCATTCTAAAGAAATTTAGCCTACTTTTGGAAATAGTAAATATAACATCCAAATTAATTTACAGAATCTTTACAAGTTTCAAAATTCCACCTCCCTCTGGAAAAGAAACTGTTCTTGGGCAAGTGAATTTTGTTTCAGTACAGTTGCTTGCTAACACGGAAGACTTAATGTTTCTAGTATTGCTTTAGGTTTGCCAGTCGGGGTTATTTAAAGTCCAATTTTATATGTTCTTTAATTTTCTGACTAAGGCACAGCACTTGTACATAAAGCTAGCTCCAACTAGTATCTGGAGTGTAAGCAGTCTGACTAGTAACTGTAGGACCAAATAGTGATAAAGAAAAAACAACCATGTATATCTTTTGAAGAATAAGGTTTGGTTTGGGGTTTTGATATTCTTAAAATGTTGTATTCAACATTCCAAGTGTGTTATGTATTAATGGTCACATAATTCTGACTTAATAGAAATCTCATTTAAAATTAATTTCTATTTGACTGAAGAAAGTTAACATCAAGCTTATTTATAATTTTTTATTTTCCTTGCATTTTTCCCTGATTTTTTTTTTTTTTAAAGGTTTAGACATACTCGAGTCAGACTGATTTGATTTGGAACTGTTTGCACCACTAAACCATCATTAAACCTACTTAAATTCCCTTGAAAGTTTGGATATAAACATGCCATTCATTTCATTTTAATTTTCTGTTATGGATTTTGCTTTTGTTTTTTTCTCTCTTCAGACTGACCAATTGTATTTGTTTTCTGTAATGAGCAGTCAAAGTATCACACAATTTTTATTGTTTTTATAAAAGAAATAAGGTTCGTGAAGAAGATTGAGTAAAATCATATTCCTGAAAAGACAAGTTAATGGAAATATAAGAAACTCTAGATGCACAAAGCATTCTCAAATTGATTAAAAGTGAATATTAAGTGTGAAGTTATAGTTGTTACATTTGTACTTTAGTTATTTATTCTTATATAGCAATTCATATCTGTAATCTTAAATACTTTTGAAAATTTCTGAACACAAATGTACCATTATGGAGGAAAACATACACTTTGGTTTATTAATTTATTTACTCATTAATAGCATCCCATTGAATACCATGTAAATTATTCTTACTTATAAGGCTTTAAAATTGTCCTTACTGAAATGCCTGAGTAACCTGAGGGAGAATTTATTTAACTAGGTAGTTTTTCCTGTAAACAAAGATCAAGTAATTTAATCCACACTTGTATGTTTTTTAACTGATGTATATTCATAAGAATTTTTAAACATGTGAAAGCACTAATCACACTTCAAGAAAACTTTCCAATACGAGCCATATATTACATTTTAACAGTGTTTCTAACAGACTAATAATGTATCTATGTTACAAAGAAAACCATATACATACATATATGTATATAATAATTAAATGCATAAAAACAATTTCTGTTTACTACAGTGAAGCTGCTGTATATATTTAGGCTACTTAAAAGAGAACTGTCTGTGGCTAGATAAAGACTCAAGTAGGAGTAATTGAAGTTCCTAGATCTGTGTTATTATTAACACATATACTTCACAAACACTTGTGCAAGTAGAACAACTTTTGAACATAATATTTTGAAAACTTTTGTACACTATCCATAGGTTGTGTTCTTGCAGTTGAAAATTATGACTTACTTATACTCTTATTTATAAGAGATGGAAAACTAAGCATTCTTGTTCTGGTTGGTTTAACAAGATATTTACACAGCATTGAGAGATAAATATATTTCACAATGATAAAAGTTTTAAACCTAATAAAGAAAAAAAAATACTTCACAATGCTAACAGTTTTAAACAACATATTTGAGAATGCCTCAGAGTCCACCAGTTTTGAACCAAAAAAGGAGATACTTCCCTTAGAGAACCAAAACATTGTAATGAAACTTGTAAAATGATCTGAGCTTGTATCAAAGAACACTAGGGAACTGAGATTTCATTTTAGTTTCTTTTCTGAAGTCTTGATAAATGGACAAAGAATAGGTGTAACTGTGCTTGTATATAATTCTTTTATTCACATAACTGGTAATTTTTATTTGATGTCTTTGCTGCTTGAATTAATCTTAAATGGTTCCCTGTTTTATAATAGTGTTCACATATATAAAAGTTGCGATGTTGTTTTAATGTTCAGTTTGACAGGTTACAATTTACTTCTCATTAATGTTAATCCATAGTTAAAATACTAGGTCTGTTAAGCTTCTGCTCTGGCTAATCGTTATGAATCTTTTGAAACATCTCTAGTCATAAAATTTATTTTTTTCAAAGTGGTTTTCATGGCCACTGTGCTGCTTAGTCCAAATGAAATTCAAAAAAAATGGCTAACTCACAAACAGTAAATGAATTGTTATTCATTCCGTTGTTCCTTGTGTAAATATCATTGTTATAAAATATGAAAAAGTCCTTTTTCAATAACTTTTTAAATTCAAACCTATGAAAAAGAAGTTTCAGTCACTTAGATGCCCGTGTTTAAACATTTATTGTAAAATTAGAAGATATGTAGAAAGCAAACTTTTCTTTTTTGTGTTCAGTTGATAGAACTTTTGGTAGATGATGTGACTCTCCCCAGAGAACCCAGTGGGTTTACACAGATTGATACCATAAAGTGTTCACAGTGCTTGATTACTTGGTCATGCATGGTCGCTAAACATAGGAATATTCAACAGTACCACGGTGAACTTCATTGAAAAAATCTTCAGTTTGACTAAAATTGCTTTTAAAGCATGATAAAGGTGCACTAGAATTTACCTTTTAAAAAAATGTATAGCAACTTTATGAAATGTGGCCACATGTGAACAGAAACCATCTGAGTAGTTTATGAAGTATA